CACTTTTCACCTTTTGTTTTGGTCTTTATTTATTTTTCATTTTATTTTTTTTTTACTTTGTGATGATTTCTGCTTCCTTTTCTTTAATTTTAGCTTTTTTCTGATTTTTCAGCTTTTCTGCTGATTTAAATTATTTTGTACTTCTATCAGCATCTTTCTGTTAATTTAGGCCTTTATGCTAGTTTTTATCTATTTGAGCTCATTTTACTTTTTCAGCTAACGTCACCGTTTTGTAATAATTTCAGCTTCTTGTTGCTTAATTCAGCAAACGTGCTCTTTTTGCTAGATTCAGGGACATTTCAGCTACTTCAGCTTTTTTTTGGCTTTTTTTACAAGCTGCAAAATTTTTGTACTTTATTTTTCTGCTAAAATATTTTAGCATTCATGCTGCATTTTTGCAGAAAATGCTAATTCTCTAGTTTAAACTAGACTTTAAAGCTCACAGCCTTTATGAAAAAAGAGACAAAAGATCACTGTTTATTTCTATTTTTTTAAACATTAAAGCTGTGATATGATGTGCTACTTTTTAAAACTTCCTTCTTTAATTCAACTAACTATTTTTTTAGGAACCTGTGTGAGACAATAAAGTTGTTACTGTCCCTGTAAGCAACACGTTGTCATGATGCTGTAGCTGACATATTTACACTCACTTCCTGTTTCTTTTATTTTCCAGGAAAGTGAACAAATGCTACCGGGGTCGCTCGTGTCCCATCATTGTCCACTGCAGGCGAGTACACAACCCACCAAGGCTGTCGTTAGTTTTCGTTTCTTCTTTCTGTGCTTTAATCTGACGTTCAAACTCACTTCCTGTTTGTGTTCGTTCTGTCGCTGAACGCAGGAGGAGGACGGTGAAAAGTTTCAGAATAAGAAATTCTGGCTGAGTTTTCTGGCATTTCAGCAATTTATGCTTTTTGAAATATTTAGGCTTTTCAGTGATTTTTTTTCTAGCTGAAAATAAATGGAGCTCATTTATACAAAATGTTTATAAACTTTTACTGCACTTTTCACCTTTAGTTTTGGTTCTTTTTGTGTTTTATAC